AAGTTCTCTCTCTCTCTCTCTCTCTCTCACTCTCTCAAGAGAGAGAACCAATGAAACGGCTTAAAAAATGATTTGAAATTTGCATCGCGTTTCCGAAATGAGATGGTCTCCGATTTTATATCCTATAATACGTATAATCAAATATCGCCCGAACGGACGAATAATTCATCGGCGTTCAGAGATCGCTACCGCCATTCGTTGCCATCTGACGCGTTTTCCCTTTTATCCTTTTCTTCTTTTTCTTTTTTTACCTTTACGTGTAGCTAAGTTTCCTTAAAACACTTTACGCCGCACAGATACACATGTGTGCTATGTACTTGAGAAATATATTTATATATATATATGCGCGTGCGTTTTTTTTTTTTTTTTTACAGCCTACGACGGCATCTGCCTCGCTCCGCAGTTCTTAATTTAGAGCTCTGTTTACCTTGCACACAGTTTTCGCGCGATTTAATCTTCACGATTATAATCGATTCGATCGTATCATATTCTCGAGTTGATCCTATACCCGAGCTACTCGGATGATCCCCTCGCGTCGAGATTACTTCTTCTCGATTTTTTTCTTCTTTCTCTTCTTTCTCTTCTTCCTTCTTATCCCTACTTATTACGTTCTTACAATTACATTCGCAAATATACTTACTTAATTTACGAGAGCCGGTTGATATTATTTTGAGTTATATCTCATAACGTGTCATTTGTAACATGATTATCAATTTTTATCGTTATAATAATCTAAATACAGGGGCACGATGGACACCAATTATTTTTCGCATTCTCCTTTTCTTTTTTTTTTTCTTTTTTTTCATCTTCCTCGCGGAGATTGCGACCCGCATTTTTCTCGCCGGATTATGCTTTTTCTTGTTGTTGACGAACGCCTCGCTTCTTTGCTGCGCTTAAACTCGGCGTCTCCTCTCCGTCACGTTATCAGCGAGAAAACTGAGTGAGCTTCAATGGATTTTGGTAGTTCTAGCTCTATAATAAGTAGACAAGTTTAATGCGTAAAATGGTCAGTAACTAGCTAAGCTTACCTCGTCGATCTGAAGGAAAAGGTACTCTTTTTTTTTTTTGTTCACTGTAAATTTCTACGGTCCCTCGGACAGAGTCTCCTCGTTACAAGAACAATGGAATGTGTGTTTTTCAAAACGTAAAAATCGATGGAATGGCTCGTCGATGAATCGGCGATATGGATAATTACAAATACGGATTCCGACTATCGTCCATCCGGAAGGGAGAGACGAGGATAGAGAAATATGAATATATTTATATATAATATATATATATATATATATATATATATATATATATATATAGAGCGTAAATTACGTGTGTAAATGTGCGGGTGGAAAAAGTCGGGGTACAGTCATTTATTCTGTTCTTATACCACAGCAATCGATATTTAGTTTACACAACGGGCGTATGAAAACGTACAACCACATTACAGACTAGCTAGATAGTTACTTGTTTGCTGTGAGTAACGTAACGCGCTAAAAAGGCTCACCTACGATAACGTAATCTCTTTCATCTTTCTCCCCCCTTTTTTCTTCCTTTCACTTTTCTATCACGATGCTGCTCATCGAGCTGATGCGATGGGACGCGCTCGCCTCGGAAGAGATGCGTAAAAAGGACCAGAGATCGAGAGATCGCCATCAGATAATATAAATATATCATATTTTCGATGGATTATCGCTTTATCGCTTCTCGCTCACACGATTGTTGGAGTGGGCTCCTCCGCGACGCGGTCTCCTTACGAAAAGCTCGCAAAATCAGGCGTTATTGCATTTGACGAGGTACAGAGGGTGGGGGAGGGGGAGAGGGAGCAATCGAAGTAAGCAACATTCTCTTCTCCTCAGCTCGGCTATGCCAAGAATCCATGCATTTAAAGTTTTTCTTTTATCGGCTTTTATCTAATATTACAATCGTGTCGGATCTTGTCGGAAGTACATATCTTATTACAGGGTACAAGCTCAAAAGCGAAGTCCGTCTTGACAACTCTGGCAATGAGGGCGCCGCCGTTATTTTCGTAAAGAGAAAGAAAGGGGAGAAAGAGAGAGAAAGAAAGAGAGAGAGAGAGAGAGAGAGAGAAGAGAGAGAGAGAGAGAGAAGAGAGAGAGGAG